GTGGCTGCCTTCAGCTCAGGTCCCACGTCAGGCTCCTTGCTCAGTGGGGAGTCTGCTTCTCCCTCTCCCTCTGCCTGCCTCTCTGCCTACTTGTGCTTTCTCTCTATCTCTCTGTCAAATAAATAAATAAAATCTTAAAAAAAAAAGAAAAAGAAATTGATGTCTCTCTATCTCTTGGCTCTGCTTCTCCTTGCATTGTTATCATCCTCAGGCTTTCCCCGTGTGGTGTCAAGGTGGGCCCACAGCAAGCAGGTCCCCAGGCATAACACTGCTGGTTCCCAATAATCTCAACAAGAGGTCCTGGACTGACCTCCATTGGCCTGACTTGGGTTACTGCCTATTCTTGAGCCAGTAACAGGCCTCTGGGAAATGCGGTGCTCTGATTAGCCAGGCCTGATCAGGCACCAAACCTGAGCCAAGGGATGGGGTCAGTTTGACCTAGACCACCAGGCCTCTGAGTGCAGGTAAAGTAGTTTGCAAAGTAACCCAAACAAGCCAAGTGGAGGCTGGCAGAAACCACAGCGGCTGCCCACTACACAGTCTGTAATTAATGCTAGCTATCATTATTGTGGAACGATACCAGAAAGATGAAGCAGACATTTATCAAACACTAGAAAGGGTAGGGAAGGCTTTGTGGTACATAGTAAGGTCTCAGTAAGTGCCTATGGAGGGAAAACTTTACAAGAGAGCCAATAAGAACATACACTGAAGTGTAATCTTGTTCTATGAAGAAAGGAGTCTGAGGGAATGAGGGCACAATTTTATTGAGTCTAGGAAAGGAGCCAGGAAACAAAGGATAGGGATAAATGGCACATTTGTGAAAGGAGTTCCTTAGAGACAGGGCTCAGGGCTGTTTAATTAACATGTAAAACTACTCTGGAGGAAGGGAGTGCATGAGGAACTCTCCAAGGTTTGCGGATGACACGGAGCACCTGGAGTGGTGATGGCAAGGACTGTGGCGGGAGTTCTCGTGGACCTGAGGAGGTGGGTGAAGAAGTGGGAGCTGAGCTTTAATGAGGACAAGGCAAGGAGATGACTCTAGGGACCAAACTCCAAATACTGCCCAGGAAACTGAGGAAGTCAAGCTACTGTGATGACCAAGAAAAGGACTTGGCATTTAGTGTAGACTGTTTCTTGGGAACTTCAGCTCGAGATGGTTCTAGAAAGAAATGCAAGGTAAAACACTGGGGCTTCTGCATAATGGTTTGAGGACAGAAGGCTCCTTAAAGAGTGATACGTTGGCAAACAGGATACATGTGCAGTTCTGGCCTGTTCACGCTGAGCACAGAGGAGGGCCGAGAAAGGGCAATTAACGTTTTTGAAGGGCTGGTTATAGACCTCAGATAACAAGACTTCTAGGTCCAAAAGGCAAAGATGAAGAAAGAGCAATCACTATTTTGAAATACATAGTACTATGAGCAGACAAAATGCAAACTATGCAAACTGGCTCATCATACGTTGAAATTCTCAGGTTGAAACTTGAGTGACATGAAATTTAATCAAAGGGGGACGCCTGGGTGGCTCAGTCGGTTAAGCGTCTGCCTTCAGTCCAGGTAATGATCCCAGGGTCCTGGGATCGAGTCCCACATCAGGCTCCTTGCTTAGCACGGAGCCTGCTTCTCCCTCTCTCTCCCTCTGCTTGTGCTCTCTCTGTCAAATAAATAAAATCTTTAAAAAAAAAAAAAAAAGAAATTTAATCAAAGGAAGGCCTGAGCCTCTGTTTCTGCTCTGTGTGGTAGAGAAAAGAGTGCTTGAACCACTCTCGTGATGAGGACTGAATGAGATCCAGTAGGTGACAGCACCGGAGACAGAGGAGGTGGAGGTAACCCTAAAGCCACGTGGTAGCCCCATGGGATTCTCGATGATGCGGCTGTCAGTAGCAGGTTAGCACGTGGGATCTGCAGTCAGGAGACAGGAGTGGGAGCTCAGGCTGTACTCCAGTGTTCATCTTCCCCATCTCTGAAAGGCAAGAGCAATTCCTACCCCATAGGGCCATAGGAAAATGAAATGAGATCCTGAATTCATTCAGCAAGTGGGGTTTTGTTTGTTTGTTTGTTTTGTTTTTTTGAGCACCGACTACTTACCAGACAGCAATCTAAGTGCTAGGTGGGACTATAATGATGAATATGAAAAAGCCCTGCCCTTCCAGAGATTGGTGTCTAGCAGGAGACAATGATAGCGAATAATCACAAACTGAATGATGCTCCCTATGGAGGGGTGGTTTTGAAAACTGTAATGCACCAGACTGATAGGATTTAATACTGCCTTTGCATTTGTTTCCTATCACAGCTGAAATAAATCATCACAAACTTAGTGGCTTGAAACAATACAAATATACAATTGTACAATTCAGGGAGTCAGAGTTTGAGATGGATTTTTATAAGCTAAATTCAAAGGCTGCATTCCTTCTGGAATATCTAGGAGATTATCTGGTCCTTACCTTTTCCAGCTTCTAGCAGCTGCCTGCATTCCTTGGCCCCTGGACCCATCACTTTGACTTCTTCTGCCAATGCCACATCACTCTCTCCGACTCTGACCCTCCTGCCTCCCTTTCATAAGGACCCTTGGGATTAGACTGGGCCCACCCAGATCATCCAGGATCATCTCCCCACCTCAAACTCCTTAATTTAATCATATCTGCAAAGGGGCTCTGGATGTGGACATCTCTGTACTACTGTAGTACTTCTGGGCTATCCAGTAGGAAATGAGCTGTCCTTGGAAACCAGTAAGCCGACTGGGCCACTTCTGAACACCCACTTGCTAACGATATTCTATTAAGTGGAGTCTTGGGGGAAGGGCAGCAGAGTGGGTACCTGAAGGCTGATTGCAGATGCCCCCGCATAGGACAGTGTCACGTGGTAGAGCCCTGGAGAGTGTACAGAGAACACTACCCAACAAGCAAGGCCTGGCAGCTGCCGGCCAGCAGCTCTGAGCCCTCAGGCAAGGATATTACTCCTCTAAGCCCCAAACTCCACCTAAGTCAACCGGGATAAACAGAACTACCTGGAAGGGTTGGAGTGAGGATTAATGAAAATATCCATGAAATCACCTAAGACAGCACCTGATCCTCAATCAATGTCTATGTCTGGAACGCTGCCTGAATTCATCCCTCCCTCTTTCTCTGTCCCTTCTGCTGTGCCACTGCCTCCTTCCAGGCCTCTCGGGAACCTTCACTGTTTGCCAGTCCTGCCATATGCCTCCACCTGGCCGTGGTTAGGAGCTCTGAAGCCCTGCAAATGAGCCCCTGTTAACCGTGAAATCTGGAGCAAGTCTCTTAAGTGCTCTAAGCTTCAATTCCCTCCTCTGTACAATGGGGCTAAGACCGGCTGTAGAACCAGGTTATTCCGAGGATTAAGCGGGATGATGAATGCAAAGGGCTTACTGAGCACAGTGCCAGGGGCGCGCGCGCACACACACACACACACACACACACACACACACACACACAAAGCAGTGTTATTGTTCTGGAGAGGCCTGCCCTCCTTTCAACCTGGTCTTCCCCAACATTCCTTCCAGCAACACTGGACGACCCACTTCTTCCTGAAGCAGGGCTTGAACTCCTATACCTGAGGGGCATTGTTTATAAGCACTTCTCTCTGCCTCCGACCTTTACCAGACTTTCCAGTTATGGCTAGTTATTTGTGCAGCCCTCTGCCTCAATATTGGACACACGCTTCTTGAGGAAAGGTGTTACTTGTTTTTTTCCCCTGTGGAGTAGGTTGGAAAAGTACTCCCCCCTCCTTGCCCGACCTCAATTTCTTTGTTTGGAACGAGTCCATTGGACTGGAATGGCTAAAAGGGCCCTTCCAGCTCTGAGATCTTAAACGGACAGAACCTAATTTAGCAGGGACGTTGTTGATCATCTAGTGCTCCTCTCTCCTTTTCCAAAAGGGGAAACTGAGGGCCCAGTAGGGCCTTCACTGAACCCTATTCTCTCCCTCCCTCTCTGGCCTCCGGGACAAGGCTTCCCGCAGGGCAGGCAGCCCCGCTTTCCTCACTAGGCAGGGGGAGACTCTGGGGCGGCTGCAGGGCTCGGGGCTCGGGGCGCCGGAAACACGTGTGTGCTCACCTACGTGTACACACGTGAGCACACCTACAGCAACAGGGGGCGCTCGGGCCGGCAGGGGGCAGCACAGCCTCGGTTTGCAATTACCCGGCGCAGCCCCGAGGGAGGAGGGCGTGCTGCAGTCCCGGCGGCGGTGGCGGCGGCTGGAGGTGCAGCCTCCCAGGTGGGAGGCGGGGGCTGCGGGCGCAGGAAAAGCGCCTCGGGAGCCGGCGCTCGGCGGGG